TAATGGTTTCCCACTTGGTAGCTTGATCACTGGTATGAAGACTATGCATGGAACTACAATCTTACATGCATCTTTAAATGTGAGATATTGGTTCCTTCCTCTCTTTTGGCTTTGCATGGAAGGAGAGTGGAGCTGATTCACATGTGGAAACTGTCCACATACAGTTTTGACACTGTGCTTATTCAACAATTTCTTTTGTACTGAAGACCATAACAAAGGCTAGACATTTGCTATATATAGAATACAGCAATGATGCTCTGTCTGTGGGGTGGGACCCTCACATAGGTTCTGTAGAGATTGACCTGCTGAGTTTGACCCTGTCCAGAACCCCCCCCCCTTTTTTTTTTGCTGCATCTTGCTGCTTTTCACTTTGGAGGAGGCTTATAGCTCATCAAAAAAATTTTTTTTGCAGCGTTCATTGAAAGAGAACTTTGGATTAAAGCTTTGGTATTTGGCAACCTTGTGCTGAAAATTATTGTTGAACCCCCTGAGGAAGATTCTGAAACAGAAGGATATCTGGACCTCTGTTGCAGGAAGACAGAGCACATACCGTGTTTACCCGAAAATAAGACACTGTCTTATATTTATTTTTTCTCAAGAAGACACACTAGGGCTTATACCACAAATGCATAGAAATCCTGCTAGGGCTTATTTTTGGGGTAGGTCTTATTTTCGGGGAAACAGGGTATTATAAAGAGACTTTAAGGAGTCCTCCCTTTTGAAACTTTTTTTTAACAGAGGAGGACTATTATTAGTTATAAGGTTGTACAATATCTTTTGAGATTCTATGGAGATGATATTTGACATTTTTGATATCTCTTATATTATGAATTGTGATTAAGATGATTAATTATATATGAAGAAATTATTGTAAAAATATTTTTCAAAAAATATAAAATTATTTATGATATGTTATAATCATCTTTGCATGGGGTTGTTGTATGTTGGTTTTCCTATTTACCGTGGGTCCTTGTTTGGTTTTGTAATCTAACAAACAGCAAGTTGCTTAAATGTTATCAACCTGCCCAAACTACTTATTTATTCAAATATTTATATCCCACTTTCCTCTGTGACTCAAGGCATTTACAAATCATACTGAAAAGCATATAGGGGTGTACAAAAAATAATTTCCCCAGCTCCATTGTAGCCAATGGGAACCATTATAGTCAATGGGCCCATAGGCTATAATGGAGAATCAATCCAGGGGTATCTGGGGCTCTGAGGGGCTGTTTTTTGAGGCATAGCTGCTGATGCCTCTCCTCAACCCCCCCCCCCCAAGTTTCAAAAAGATTGGATCAGGGGGTCCAATTCTATGGGCCCCAGAAAGAGGGCCTTCTGGGCTGAAAGCAATAATTCCTACGCTGCCGGTTACAATTTTGTGTGCCAGCACCCCCAGCACAGCTTAGAGAGAACTATGGATGGTAGATGAAAAATATTATTGATTAGTTAGATCCTATCAGCTTTTCTGCAGATGAAAGTGCAAGGAGGGTTCCCTTTTGACCACCAGAAATCCTCTGCAGAACATTGCAAGACCTACGTGAGCAAAAAAGACAAGGGCTGTAGTGAAGAAAGTGATCAACTGAGACAGAGTGAAAAAGGTGATAAATTCAACCTTGCTTGCTTGAAAGATAGGTCTTAGTTCAAATGCATAACAGTGAAGTCAGTTGGAAAAGTAAAAAAAAAGGATGCCTGAAGATGAACTTTTAAAAAATTACATTTCACTTTGAAGTTCATATTGCTTACATGGGGCAATTTATGTAGAATTGTAGTTTTCAGTAATTGTTGGCATATTCCCCCTAAATACAGAATGATGTTTGTGATTTCTCACAGTATCTATCATTTAAATCCATTTAGGAAATAACATTCTGGTATGCCTCTCTGATGCCTTTTGCTTGGTTCTTTGGAACGCTCTACCTGTTTCCCCCCCTTTTTTGCTGTTTTGGTACAGTAAATGCACTCTGTAATATGTATTATGGCATGGTCAAAGGATAATTTATTGTCAGATAGAAAAAAAATAGGTCAACACTAATGTCACTTGATGATCTACCCCCCCAAGTTTAATAAAACATCTCACCAGCATGCATCCTGCACAGCGGTTGATATTTTATTACAACTCCAGTACCTGGGCTATAGCAGTAGTGTAATTACTGAGCTGTCAGAGTGATAAGTGGGATTAATGGCAGCCTGATGCACTTTAGTCTGCGGAGTGCTCTGAGAATTGGAAGATGCTGTTGTTATAAGAGTCTGTCTATACTGGCATATTCACGGCACTCCCACCCTATCTCCCCCCCCCCACCCAATGCCACAAATTCAGGTTTGCATTGCCCTGCCTCATTAACATTTGACATTTTCAACAGCTGTTATTTGTGAGCCTGCTCAATAATAAAAAAGGAGAGATAATATATTATTTGGTAAAAAAAGATGCATAATGACACCTCCTAATAATCTAGACATGCTCTAGACCACATAAAATGGCTTCCTGGTCAATTCTTAGTATGAGATGTTTTCTTTCAAGGTTGAAATTTAAGACATTTGCTTGATGTGATGTTTGTTCAGTGCTGCCTTCCCAGCTGTCACATTTAAAATAGTTACAGTTTATTCAACTTCCACTATGTAGGGCAGGAACCAAAAAAAAGAGCCCACACAATAGTTATTTTTCCATACACATCTTTTCCCGCAATTGGACTGCCCTCTCCTTATTGAAAGCCAACAGCTCACATCTGCAACTTTTCTTCTCATGATTTTTCACAAGAATAAAATCTACTCAGAAGGTGTCCCTTTATTGCCAATTTAAGGCACATCCAATAAGGACAAGGGCATGAATTAAGGTTGCAGGTAATTGTGTTGGTCCAAAGGTAAATCCAAAAACATAAGCTGTGTAATAACTTTCATTAATAAAAGGCTTTTGTGTATGGATTAAGTATTCTGCCTGCTATATGCAATCCAAGTTTACTGCCCAGTTCCCATTATATTTTCTTATTTCACGCCTTCCTTAGAATCCTAACGCTCTACTTGAGTGGGGTTAACAATAAATAAATAAATAAAATTAATGAGGAGACCCACCAGAGGATCAGACACCAAGCTGGGAACATGCATTATAGTTATAGTAATAATACTTGGCATGTATATAAAACATGGTAGGTATTTGAAGTGCTTCACCTCCAGTATTTCACTAGTCTTTACAATAGGTAACACAGACATTATTACAGTCTCGGTTTTTCACATTTGGGATCTGAAGATAAGTAATGGGTTGCCTGAAGCCACCAAAGGACTATGCGACTGACATCTCAGCTCTCACACTCTTCTTCTGTGCTAGAAAGAATGCTTGGTCTTCAAGAAAGGGGCTTCTTATTAGAGGAATCAATTGGACTTGGACTGTTCATAGAAAATAGGGAACAAATTCTTGTTACTCTTCTGTCTTCAGTCCTCAGGCTGCATCCATCCACACATCATTGGATTCTGTAATCCCATTGTGCTGTAGAAATCATTCATGACTGGATTGACATGCCCACACAGGGAAATCCAGTAGCAAATGTGCTACAGTGATAGTGCACTATCCAAGAATTTGTGGAGACAGGTAGTATGTTTTTCATAGAGTGGTCTCATAGAGGCATTTGTTGTCCACAGTGTTGTACAGATCACTCTGTTCACAGATTTTGAAGGTTTGTAAAAATGTATTGAAAAGTCTGTTGAAACTGCTTGGTCACAAGACAGGGACAAAAGTCATCAATAATTCCTCTGTCATTGGTTTGTTTGTTTTTAACTGTCAGCTGAACACAGCTATGGTCTGTGTTGAGCCTTAGGATTTCCTTGTTTCCCTTTTTTCTGGTCCCGATTTTAATCTTTCTTTGTCAGCTTTTCTAACCTTTGTCAGCCATTGACCTGTCAATTTCTCTGTGCAGGTTAATCTATATATCTAATAGTCAAGGCGCCCCCCGCGTGCGGATATCTAAATCCACACATCAGGGGCAGGGAGATTTTCCTGCACATTTGGGGCAATCCCCAGATGTGCAGAAAAATCTGCAAAGTTGAAAAAATATAGGGGGATACTTAAATCCAAAAGTAAAAGAGCGTTCCCTGCGCATGTGCAGGAAATGCTCTGAAAACTGCTTCACCGCTGGGGGGGGGAGAAGGCTTGGCCAGCTGGCCTTGCCACTGGTGGGGAGAAGCTTGGCAGACTGGCCAGGCCTTGCCGCCGCTGCTAGGGGAGGAGGGAGGGAGAAGGCTTGGCGGGCCAAGCTCACACCTCACCGCCGTTGCCATGGGGGGGGTGAGGGAGATATGGTGGGCCCGGTGGCTCCAAGCCACATGGGCCTTGCCACTGTTGTGGGGGGGCGGGGGAGGTTAGGTGGGCCCGGCCACTTGGAGCTGCACAGGCCTCGCCGTCAGGGCCAGGCAGAGGTGGGGGAGAAGGCTCACCTGCGGTGGCTACCTCCTCTGCGTGGAGCTCACCCCCCCGTGAGTATCGCAGGTCACCGCGTTTTGTACATTCACTAATATTTATGAAACTCAGTATAGAAAAGCCTTGGCTGATATTAATTATTCTGCATTCAGCATAGGGTTTGAGCAGTTGGCATTAAATATTCCTGGAATTGAAACAGGAAGATTTATTTTTTTACAAAAAGTCAAACCCTACCACTTGTTGGCTTTTGCTAATTCACTGAACAACTGCCTATTACTTTCCCCCAGGTACATTGGAATCTCTGGAGAAAAAAAATGCCTCTTTGCACGATTAAAGTTACAACACAGATACATAAGGGAGTTGTCTTTTATGGGTGGCTTGGCTTTGACATCGTTCTGGGGGTGCCTGCCTTGTTTTACCTGTCTGGGACATGGGAATAATAGCATTTCTCTCAGGAGCATTTTCTGTCTCTGCCCAAACAGTAAAGCATTATTAATTTTTAGATTGATTAGCTTCTGTCAGGTGCACAGAAAAATCGTATGCTGTTGGCAGTGTTTTGTGCTGTAAGTCGCTTTAACTCATTTACTTTCTTCCCCAGGTGCTTAAAGTGTGCAGATGCCCCCTGTCAGAAGAGCTGCCCAACTAATCTAGACATCAAGTCATTTATCACAAGTATTGCAAACAAGGTAAAAAAAGAAAAGAAAAGAAAGAAAAGAGAAGCTGGTTCACCAAGTCAGTGAAAGGCAAGAGCGGCAGTTGCTGCATTTCCCTTTCTGTGATTGAATTACAGCCCTTATCTTTGTGTGTAGCTTAATGAAATAATGTTTAGAGCAGCTATTATAAAATTTAACAGACTTTTCTTAATTGCATAATTATTCTTGCTCCTTTCCTGCAGAGGTACTGTACTGTAAATGCATAGCCAGTATGTATATTAACTCTGTGGTTTCAAATAATTATTTATCTTTTTGTTTGTACGAGTGTTGGCTTTTGGAAAGATTTTCTTTACTGAAGTTACTAATTAAAAATGCAAGGCATTTGCAGAGTATAGTCACTACAGAACTCTGCCAGGCTACTATCTTTGCAAGTCCCCCCTCCATAAAGAAAATGTCTAGTCTTTGTGGAGCTCTGTTAATAAAACAGCACCTAAGCAGTTTGGCACTTGAGCTAAAACTGGCTGTGGAGTTGCAAAGCTGAGATCTTCTTTAGTTGACTTCAGTTTTGTTCTTTTAAACAGTCATCTTGGGGTAAACTCTGATGTATAGGGTCTTGTATAAGAAGAGATTAATGTGTTTCTTCCAGAAAATTTCCTTTAATGAAAGCCTATTTTTCTTGCTCAGTGTTGCTGACTATTTGAAAGAACAAGCAGCATACACTTCAGGTGCTAGATTTAGTAGAAATAACAACAGCAGTCTTGAAAGGCACTGTGTTTCAGCTGAGATGGCGTACATGTGTTTTGCAACACAGAATTAACAACTTCTAATGACCTCTTCAAATGTTCTTTGCCCTTGGAGACAGTGTTGGCACTCTTGCCCTTTTGGTTCATCCTGGGTAGGAGGCAATTAGTAAGCTGGTAGATTCCACATTTATTTGATGTTGGTTCTTTCAGAACCTACAAGAGATCCATTTGGGTCCTGACTTTCTAATTCAGCAGGCTAGAAATACCTAGCAATGAAATCAATATAATGGATGGTGTTCTTTAGATCTACCAGCAAGACTTTTGTCTGGCACAAGGAGCCTTCTGCTGATGCAGGAACAGCCTCTTTGTGCTGGAGGAAAGTGCTGTTATTAATGGGATGCATTTGTAGAATCAAACCCCTTGTCTCCTGATTCCCTTTTGTCAGTAAGGAAGGCAGAGTGCTTAAGATGGAGAAAGGCCTATTCATGATCTTGTCCTGAAGACATTGGTGAAGTCTGACTGTAAGCTCCCAAGTGAGTTAATGGCTCTGACAGTGAGTTACTCTGACAGTGACCAGTTGTCATTTGCTGCTTATTTTTGTATAGCATTAAATAATTTAATATGTTACCACGAATGTCTGAGTTTTGGTGATTGTCTGCATTCTTCAGTGACTGTGGCAATCCCAGGCAAACTTTGTGAATGTCAGTATTCTCTGGTGTGACCTAATTTGTCTGATGGCATCAGTGAATGGTGACTGTCTCATTTATGTGACCGTTCAATCAATCAATCAGTCAATCAGTCAATCAATTATTTGTACCTTGCCTTTCTCCCCAATGGGGACCCAAAGTGGCTAGCAGCCTCTACTTCATCCTTACAACAATCCTGTAAGGTAGTTTAGGCTGAGAGGTCACCCAACAAGCTTCCATTGGCAGAATGGGGATTTGAATGTGAGTCTCCCAGGTCCCATTCTGACAGTACAGCACCTTGACCATCAATATGCTAAACTTTTGGACGTTGGAAAAATTAATCTGGGATTTTTATTCAGTATACAGACATATACCATATTTAAACAGTCTTTGTGAAGACCATGGCTAATCTCCATTCCCTGGTGCTTATGCATTTGATAATGTAGGCTGTTGCCCATGTCGCAATTAAGTAGTTAGTCTTTAAGTGGCTCCAGAACTATTTGTCCTTTTCCTCAAGCAGATTAGCAAAACTGGTCTGTAATTTAGGGTGGATTGTCACCAAGCACCGTTGCTATTCAGGCTTTATTTATTTCAGTGAATGGAGCATGACATCAAAAGGAGACTGTGTACCTAAAGCACTTGATGAAATTATCCCTTGGCCTCTACGATCCAGCTTTGAGGACAGTGTGGTTCTGTAGGACTCCTATGGTTTGATTCATAGATTACACAATGCCAAACAAAAAAAATGAAGATGAATGCTACCCATTTATTTACTTAGAATGTTTATATATGCTGCCTTTCTTCTAACAAAGTCAGAACCCAAGGCAGAGATGCTTGCTGGCACTTTTACCATGGAAACTTGTTGTGTGTACGCTTTTATGTTAATTATATGTTGCATAGATTGTGAAAAAAGCATTACGTTGCATGTACTGACATGAAATATTTGGGTGTTAAGCTTTATGTCCAACAAGCTTAAATGTTGCTGTGATGGATAATGACCATCTGGCACCAGTTTTGTCTGCAGGGAGACACAGGGGTGTGCTTTAAATTATGGAGCAACCTTTGGGTCGAGGACCTGAGACCTTTGTTCAGTTTCTCATTTTCACAGATATTGGTTCAGGTCCAGTTTTGACTGTAGGCCACAAACCGAGTTGTTAAGTTTAAGTGGGAAAGAACAGTGTTGCTGGGAAGATTCAGCAAAGCTGACCTCATGAGTAGATAACACCCAGGTGCAGGGAGGGAAGCTTCTCTCTCTAACTCCCTTCCAAGGAAGAAACCATGGCACCATTGTAACCAATTAGCCACATTCCATTCAATAGCATGATTTGCACCTGTGGGAAATGGTCAGACCAGACTGCAGCTAGCTCCCCATTTCATCCTCAGGTCACATGCTTAGTAACAGGTCATACCATCACTGACATCATGAGCCAAAGTTCTGATTGGTTTATGGGCCCGAAACCACTTTGGATCCTTTGGTCTTAAGCATTAGCCTTTTCAGTTAGCAATTAGCAACTGACAAGGCATGAGTAGCCTCTTGCTCCTTGATTTTGGATGCATTCTTTGAAACCTGCTTGATATGGGTTAGACACTTGGCCTATGCTGACTCTGGAGAGAGTTGGACTTTGCTTGCTGAGCAACTTTGGAATGGTAACATCTTGCAGTTTGTAGTCTTATTTTGAACCAGTGCCTTACTATGTAGTTAGTCTCTTACACTTAGCTTTATTGTTTTGATTCCTCACTGCTCATTCTTTTTGAAATATTCTTGCCCACTTTTAATAAATCTAATCTTAATTATATTCAGGGGTCATTTGGGGGGGACGCGGGGGGACGCCACCCTCCCGGGTGAGGTGCGGGAGGGCGGGGCCTGGAGCTCCCTGCTGGTGCCCGCTGGAGGTCGCCGCCGGCTGTGGGGAGGACACACTTCCGGTGATGTCAGGGTGTGTGTGGCATATGCTAATGAGTTATGCTAATGAGTCCCCCTAGCTCTTTTTCTACAAAATGACCCCTGATTATATTTGTGGTCTTTTGTGTTCAGGTGGCTTCAATCCTAATTCCAGTTCCTAGGCCAAGTGCTTGCTTACCAGGTTAACTGTTTTGTGGAAATCCATTTCTGCAAGCTTCCAGCCTTTCAGGGGTGACTGTCTTGTTTAGCTCCTGGAAAGTTAGAAGCTTGCCACTTGGCTTTTGACTACTGGGATAGAAAAGGGGCTGGTGGCAGCTTATCAGACTGGTGTATGAAGGTTCACATTGCCAGGATTTGGTCATTTTGTGTTCTGCAGCCCCATCACACAAACACCCTTGAACTAGGGGTTTGTGACACTTTGCATATATTTACAAGCATATGAAAAAACGGTTCTCCTTGGCATATGAAATCTAAAGCAACACTGCAGTCCTATATGTTTAGCATGTTGACTCAAGGAACCTTGAATTCTCTGCCTCTTTCCTGTAGTAAACAGCTATATCAATATTGTGCAGGTATGCAGTGTAGATGAGAAGCTGTCAGCAGCCATTCCTTTTTGCCTGAAACTTAGGTATGGAAGAAAATGGCTTTTAACCATATGAGCCCTTTGTTACTTAACCTGTTAATGTTAGGATTTTAGTTCAGTAGTCAGTCCTGTATCTTGCATGTAGGATGTGCCAGATGTGGTCCCTGTTTTCTCCAGCTGAGAAGAAGTGGAGCTATGAGAGAGCTCTGCTTAACATCTTGGAGAGCAGTGTACTTGGAGTA